GGAACGATCACACGTACGTTCGATCGATGACAGACGCCCATTTTTTTATCACCGCGCAGGAGGAGCGGTGGCGAAGGCAGTGGTCAGGAAAGGGGAGGGCGAGCCATCCCTGCCTTCCCCTCTTTCTCCGCCTTCCATGATCACCCCTTGCGGGAACAAATACCACCAGGAGGTCAAGTTCATGCGCTACGGCAAGGTAAGGGTATATTACCAAAACCCATGTCAGGATGACCATCTTTCCCGGCGAACAGCCCAAACCAACCAGAGATGGGAGCGGGCCGCTCAAGACCACGATGAGACTTTTTCCATGGGGGGTTACGGTAAGGACTTTCATCTCGCCCGCTTTCAGAGAAATCGAACCGTCGTAGAGGGGTTCTGGAAAAGCAAAAAAAATCTGGGCGGAACCCGGTACGAGCATTACCCTCCGCCAGCAGCGATAAGCAAATAACGCTTATTATGGCATGCCAACGAACATACGTGCAGCACACGCGAAAGAAAGCGGTTGGGAAAGAGAGAAAGCCGCACACGCAAAGCGCTGCGGACGGAAACACCACCGAAGAATGTCTCCACCACCCGCTGCTTAACAAGAGTAGGGCATAGTATGCATAGTGTGGCGGCAGTGGACCTGGTGACCAGCCAGCCAGCCGTACCCTCGGAGGCGTGGCAAGGGAAGGCATGGTTCAAATCGATTGCACCTAACGGTGTCCACCGTTTTGTCCGCACTCAAGCCATCACAACTACCGCCGCCATTTCGGCGAAAGAAGTTAATTGAAGGGGCTTGGTAGACAACGGAAAGCCGGGTAGAGAGTTAAAGTTGTCCCGCTACACGTGTTGATGCTGCAGCGGAGGAAAGTCAAACCATTGGAGACACAACAAAAAAATAGGAGAACAACTAAACTCTTTGCGCTGCAGAAACCATCCGTTCTGTTCCCGGAAACGGGTGCTACGTCGTAGGTTTCCTTGTGAAATACTGGCAGAGCACGCCAAGAAAACAAAAACAAGAGCAAAATTATCGAAGAAACACCGACAGAAGGGAACAAAACAAGATCAAGACAAAACGAAGAGGGGATAGGTAGGTAGCAAGGAACGGCCCGTGTTGAACAACACTGACGGTCACTAACGTATGTTTCATGGAACTAACGAACCACGACTATTCACCACCCCGCGCTAACGCTAACGTCTGCTACTTGAGTAGCGATCCGTACACGGCAGCGTAAGGCATCGTTTGGCACAGCGCCCCGCCAACGATGTTGCCTAGCGTGACGGGCAAGATGTTCTTGACGAACAAGTCTTGCCAGGACACGCTCTTGGACGCCCCGCTGAACAAACCCAGAGGGAGCAGGAACATGTTGGCAACCTGGACGCGTGGAGAGCGAATCCCGCCCGGGTCGTGGAGAAGGAATCAAGTCCGTTTGAAAAAACGAAAAAAGTTGGGGGGGGGGGGGGAGAAAGCTTCAGCTGTAGTTGTGCAGCCGTCGTTTTGGCGGTGTGCAAGTACGTTTCTTTTTATTTTCGTACACTCTGCTCATTTCTTTCGCCTTTTGCTGTCGACGTCTTCCGGTCATCTTGATGCCTTGCTTCCGATCAACCGTACGGCGAGGACGCCAAACAAAGCGAAGACATGCGTTCGTTCGCAATCAAGATAACCGCACGCCGTAAGATGACGACCACTGGCTGACTTCGGTCTGCCTACGCAACGGCAAACCCGTGCGTGAATCTACAAACCGCCAGCAGTATTGGCGAGTGCGACGGCACGTGCTTGTGGGTGGATGCGCCTACAAACCCGCAGCGCGTACTGCTGTGGGTGTCGATGTGGACAGAATTACGTCTAGGAAAAGACGCGTGTTGACTGGTGACCTAAAACAACAACAACGACACCCACGATACACAAGAGGCAGAAGAGGCGGCACCGCCGGCCGGCCCGTCGACTCCAACCACTTGCAAGTACAAGGCGGCGCGACAACACTGCGGTTCATCAGCAATAGAACATATACCGCAGCCAATGAGCCGAAAATCAGCGGACCAAATACAACAACCGCTTACCGAGTGCTCGGCACCAAACGCCACGAAGGCCGAGACCGGGAGAATCATCGCCAGGTACTTCTCGGTGAGGGAGGTCGCCCCCGCCGCAACCCACACTGCAAATTCCGTTCCGTTCGGCCAAATATTCATGGGACGGAAAGAGTTCGTTGGGAGCGTTTGCGGTCTTGAGGTTTCATGCTCTTCTTCTGCGGCTGCTTTGCTGAACCCTTGGTGACAAGGCTAGAGCACGGGGTGGGGGGGGGGGGGGGGGGGACC